CAAAAAATGTGCAAAACTCCGCGCGCAAGCGCTCGTACGCTCATAAGTCGTGCAATCCTGCAAACGATAAGGCGTATGATAGGGGCGTGGACTGGAGCACTGCCAAGGCGGCCTTTCCACTAATAATGACATCCTGAATTGTTAATAATTGGCGGGAAGGCTATTCCGGCTACGATCCAGGACAGCCTTCCCACCACAGCCCGTCGCACGCGCTATCATTCGCAGGGGCCGCGACTATAACGTACAGTCCTCATCATTACGTACTGTCGGGGCGGCACAGCCGCGCTGCACTGTGACGCGACAGCGGCTGCGGCTCGGTGACGGTGAATCAGCTGATTTCGATGGAATTCGGCTGCAAATTCCCACTTTTTCAGCTCTTCAAGCTTCTAAAGTGGAAGGTGAGTTATTCTGAACAATTTTGAATTGTACTGGCTCTGATTTCCTTTATTTTTATGTCGATTATATGCTCTTTTCCTTGTATTTTGCCTTATTTCAGGCATTTATTCAAATGGCTTACATTCTTTTCAGATTCATTCAGAGTCAGTACAATTCAAAATTGGTCAGAATAACTCACCTTCCACTTTAGAAGCTTGAAGAGCTGAAAAAGTGGGAATTTGCAGCCGAATTCCATCGAAATCAGCTGATTTCACCGAGCCGCAGCCAGCTTCCGTCATCATCCGCGCGCTGTGCCGCCCCGACAGTACGTAATGATGAGGACTGTACTTACAGATTCGATATGCTCTGGACGGTCACAACACTTGCCAGAATATGCTTTGTACAAAGTTTTTACGTTTTACAAGTTTTAACTTTTTGGGAATGTAGAGCATTATTTCCCAATCGCAGCGACTGGGACGAGGTAGGCGAGCGGGACGACGTACGCCGCATTCGCGTCAGGACCCAAGCCTAATCCAGTCAACGTAGCTGGGCTGCGGCGCATCAACTCTCTGCACTCTCTTGTCTTTCATTAAACAAGCTCCATCTGTGTCCGTCTCTGCCTAGTCAGTTGAATAGTAAGTACTCGTCTGCTGGTGCGATGTCGCGACTGGGAACTAACGCTCCACAACCATTTTTCGTCGACAAACTTTTTGCCAAGATAGTACAACGCGTTCAAGGTTTTGTAAAAGAAAACTACGAAAAACACTTACTTTCGACAGAGAGTCCGCCTCGGCACGTCGTCGGGGCTCCTCGATGAACTGAGTGAAGGTCTCCTTCGCACCTAGAAAAGGTTAAGTAGCAATGCTGTCAACGTAAGATGTGACACGCCAACTGGACCGGTACAAATAGATGAGCCGCATAGGGCGAAAGTTGCGGAAAACATTACGAGTGCATTCTTAGGCCTATAACTATCTGTATATCTTCTAACATTTTTTCATTCCATAACCTTGCTTTGTTTTTGTGAATCGTTACTAGATAATCGTTTAAAAATCTCACCAGCAATATGTTCCATCACATTATTCCCAAGTTTGACGGCACCAGCTTGCACTTCTAAATCATGTATAATTTGATAGTCTTTGAAGGGGTTTTGTCAGCGCAACCGGCGTTCTTTGCCCGCGTACATTTCTCTGGCCTGGACACCAGATACAGATAATATCAGTCGGCGTATCCGACCACGAGATGGTGCTAGGAGGTCGAATAGAATTAGCCCGCCAGCAGCGTTCCTACTACTGGTTCGCATTTATTACCGAAGGCTGCACTACTGCGTAGAAAGGCGAGAGAGCGATAGTCGACTGCGCTCAGTCAACCGTGCGCAGATGTATTCCAGAGATAGTGTGACTCGTGACTTATTACTTCGTTTCAAATCTTCAGCGCCAAAATGACGCGCGATCCCTCGCTAAGCGTCCTTGCACTTAATCACACCTTTTTGTAGGATGGTTACATGGTTGGCGACAAAAAAACAACTCATAGGAGTTGTCTGGTCCTTACTTATGGAAGCCGTCTTTTGGTGCTCAAAACACGAACAGCCCAGTCACGCTGTTCCAAATTCGAAAAAGCAGGACTTGATTCAGTTATTACTCAGCTTACTGGTTTAATTCACCGGTCTACCCGTCCCCATGCCTCAGTCTCATGCTATTCAGTCTTGTTCGCGCGGATGAGGGGCCGCTGCTCCGCAGCCTCGTTAGGCGCCCGTGTAGCTCTCGCAAAGCTGTCCGTAAGCGACAACAAACAGGTGGAAATTGTCGATCATACGAACGATATGATATAGGCCTGTCGCCTGCCGAAACAAAAAAATAGAAAAAAGGTGCTGGCGCCGCGCCAGAACCATCCCATTTTCACACGACTCATCATCCGCAGGCAACAAAACTGTACGCTACTTTTTCCCCTGAGAAAAGCGCACTTCTCGAAGCACTTTTGCACGATTGGAAGCTATACTTAATAGATCGCACCAGCATGAAAACAGCCGCAGCTGCAGCAGATTCTTTCACACATATGGCGCAAATAGTGCAATGGGTGTCGAATAAAAATGTAATAGCTTTTCGAAGTTTGTCCCTGTAGCTTCTACACGATGTGTGTGATAATGAAAACTTCCCCCTCAATAAATGGAAAGTTCTCACAAATCATTCTGGTATGACTTCATCTCAGACTGAATGAAACATGGCCATGTGTAAGAGTTGCTCTCCTCACCTTTCATATAGTCCTGCGCTTCTCTAAGCAAGTCGTCGGCCGTTGCACCATTCTGAGCTATCTCTTCGACTTCTTCCTTCGTACTCTTCAAATACTGAAATATTCAATCGGTAAAATCGCTCTCAAGCGTTTTCGAAGATTCGTTGAATGTTCTAAAAAAGTTCATCAGAATTCCAAAAGCAAACAGTAACGGGATTCGTCCTGAAATGTTTCTCTGAGGCCCAAGTATTCCTGCAGGCAACGTCCTGCAGCCAGGGTACGGCATCGCTGGAAACGCAGAGGGGGGTCGTACGTTTCCACTGGTGAGGAGTCGCATTTGGTCGTTGGGAGAGGGGGTCGTATGTGCCTTCAAGAGAAATTTGCTGCGTTGGGAAAAAATCTTTCCCGGTTGTTGACTTTTCGCACGATTTTTCCTGTCTTCATGTGTTCTATATACCCCCGCAATTTTTGGGAAATCCTGGAAAAAGTTTGAAAGTTGGGGAAAATGTAAGAAATCTTCCCGTTTCACATGTGATACTTACTCCCCCTCCGCGCCACCGCCCCCCCCCCACTGCCGCTCAACGGAAAATTTTTGGGTGAAAAAACTGGAAAATGTGGGAAAGGAAGGGGGAGGGGTCGTACCGAGACCGTCATTCAGGTGGGGGAGGGTCGTACTGGCAACCTTCCTCAAAGGAGGGGAAAGGAGGCGTACCAACGACACCACAT